ACCTAATATTGCATCCATGTATAATAGGATTAGCCGGATCACCTGGGGCGATGTCTACTCATGAGAAAGGATTGCTTCTTGCCACACTATTAGCCCGTCTGAATACTAATGATGTTGACAAACTGTTGTTGCGTAAATTGGAACGATTATCTAAAGAAACATCGTTATCCGATGGTCCTGAGGCAGAGGAAGTATGGGAAGACGGCGGTCGATTTGGTGAATTAATAAATGCTTTATTGACATTTTTTGAAGATTATGATGAGGTAAACATGCGATACATTTCTCTTGTGAACGGTACATGATATGTCTATTCTAATTGTCTTTTTCTATGAATAGCGCTCTCCGGATCTTAAGGAGACAGGATTACAGTTGTTACAACAGTTATTGATTAATCAGACCCGTTATGTTGCTGGGCTTGAGAGAGACGTGCTTAGAGTATGTCTTGATTGTAGAGCAGATTTGGCTACCAATGTGAGTTGACAAAGGGCAATTGAAAAAATTTCGCAGCAAATCTTTTAGTGTTGTTAATGAGTTTTGCCGTTGAAATTTTTATAGGTCTCTGGACAGGCTGATGAAGTTTTGGAAACATATGTTCAAATAGTTGACGTTCATACTGGTTTATATGCCTTAATCGATATAATGGAATCCCGTATGTTTAATAGTGGTTACAGCAATTCATCGTCGCCTGTTGGTCATTACGGACAAAGGTCAAATCCAAAAGCAGCCGCATTTATGGTGTTGGCACGATTAGTTAGACGATTTGAGAAGAAATCGTTGGAAAGAGAAGTTGGGAAAATCGTTCCATTAGCTATAAGAGTGAGTATCGGTTGGTCGGCCAGTGTATTACGGCTCTGTAACTTTTCTAAGCATTTTTCGTTTATTCATGATAGGCGTTCAATGACCCCAAGCCTGAGATTCGAAAGGCGGTAGTTGATTCTTTGGTATCGGTTTATTCAATCATAGGGGATGATAATACAATGCTCCAATATCTCACCAGTCTTAATCCTGCACAACAGAGACTATTGCATTATTACTTTGACAAGAGTAAGAAACAGCAAAAGTCCACTGCACAAGGGGTTGTTGTATAACACATTCGTCGTAGCATTGATCGATAAATATTAACCATATAACAAAATATACATACTCCAAGCTTGTATATATATAGACATTGTGGCAGGTAGAGGAATCTGATGACAACATACTATGAGAAATTTCAATTTTTGTATTTATTTCCGATGTATTATGAATATTCATAGAATTATATTATTTATTCGAAGTTAAAGGAAAGCAATATATATAGTTTACCAGCTAAAAACAGGTCTTTCCGTATATTAACCGTAGTGGTTGTAGTCATAAGAGTTACATAATCTTGTCCTATAATGTCTGCTCGTTGAGAAAATAACATTTGCGCTACACTCCGGGTCCAGACTTTATTTACATACGAATTGTTGGTTCTTCAATAAAATTATATAGTCTTGATTGTATATTTCCAAATTATACAAAAAAGAAAAACTAATACATTTGGCTGGTTAGCACACACCTCGGTTAAGATGCTGTGTCGTATTGACGATGCAACCATGCCATGCTATATAAATGCTTGACGTTCAGATCGAAAACCTTTTACGAATACACGAAACTTGATATTGTGGTACACAGAAACCTAATTTAGATCAAGGTAACTCTGGTCAATTTCATCAATGCATCATCTGTTGCTTCGTCTACATTGCTCATCATCAGTTACGTTTTCACTATTTTCGTCGATGGATTCCTGTTCGACTGATCTCTTCGTCATACTTGTTATCAATGCATCAACGTTTTTCTTAATCTCATCCTGAAGGTATTCCAAGCATATAGAACACTTGAATTGACACCGTTGCAGGCAATGACTATGATAACCAGGCCCGCATGCCAGAACGATGCCATTGTTTACATCGCTCCTCTGATCGTAATATATGAACAAATGTATCAGGTTTTCTGGAAGTAACGAAACTCCGAGGCAGATGACGATCCGTTATTTTGTAACCTAGAGAAGGCAGTTCATACAATCGAATGATATTTCAACAATCAAAGGGTACTGATGACGAAGTAAATAACAAATAAAAACCATTATTTTCTCCATACGATCCATCGTCTGTTTGTTACAGTCGAATGGTCGAGCTGCTGAACAAAGTTGTGTAAAGAAGTCTTTTAAATCCGGTTCACTCGTTTCTAGTAAAGTTCGCATTTCATCAAATGTGTAAATGGGTCCTTTATTCTTCACACATTCCATTTCAGAAAGAATTTTTGCCATAACCCTGATGGCTGATGATTTCAAAATTCGAACTTTGCTGATGTGACTTCACTCGCTTAGGAAGGGATTCTCATATAACATGTATTGCATAAAACAACGCCTTCTCCCATGTTACCTTTACTAAACCTTGTTTCTCAACTTCTCTCCATTTTTCTCCATTCACTGAGCGGAATCCAGTTGACTTGGTGGTTTGGCATTCTGTGCAACGTTGGTTTTCAGACATTCAAATAGAATATGCTTTCTACTGTAGTAGTCTCTAGCAAATTTTTTTACGGGCATGAATTGTGTTCCGAGTGACTTCTATTAATGTAAAAGACCAACTGGTGTCAGGTGACAATACAGTGAACATATGTTCTCTATTCTTCTCCGTTTACTAAATTAATTATAGTAGAATCTGGGATATTTTTCCATTCCTCTACCATAAATCATCCCTGACTATTCTAATAGACGAAAGAGTATTTTTCTGTTATCTCACTCCGAGTTTATCGAGGCACGGATAGATTAACATAATCGATTTTCGACGTCAATTTAGATAAGTTATTGAAAACCAGAGTCAAAGAAAGAGACTGCTAAATTTAATACGTCTTTAAGTGCAAATTGAATGTCAATTTATTTGACTATTATATATCTGTAAAGTACATAATAAAAATCTTCCTTTTTTTGATTATTATATTTTTGTTATCAAATACTATACATTTAGAATTATTATTCTTATTAAGATTAAAACTAACATACAGTATGTTACATTGTTAATGATACATGTAATCGAATGACTATTGCTCCAAAACCGGCATGCCAGGTCTACCTCCCCAAGTGTCCCATTGGATCCGGACACCGGCAAACCATCAGTGAAAAAAAATAGGGGAGGCGAGAAGAAAAAAAAGGAAGAAAATAGAGTTAGTTTATAACGTAAAACAATGTGATACTTTACCCAAAACCTTCTCCCCACCATCTAAGGCTGTGTAAAAAAATAAAGAAAAGGAGATATTCCGGGCATCCACTCATCAGACCCATTATCATGCCAGGATCCCTTCACCGCCGGCGCGCACTGAGGACAATGGCGAGTAGGAGGGTCACCCGATAACTACCCACCCAGCAGAGACAAAGGAGAACGGCTACCTAGTAAACCGATTAAAAAAGCAATAGTCTGTTAGTTAACGATTAGATGATGGATCTTTGGGATGGGCTCATGGCAGATACAGATGGATCAGTTAAATTGTTCATATCAAGTCCTATGGGAGTTGGCAAATCATATATCCTATTCCTAGTAACTATGGCCTACTCCCAGGATTGGTCTATTCTCTATATCTTGAATGGTACAGAATTTCATAAGACAAATGCTCTGGCCTCATCTGAAGTTATCTGCAGCTACTTTTTTGTACTCAACTGGGACATCTTGACTGCCTCTGAACTGCCAGTTTATAATACAAATGACAAACACTTCTGGATGGACCGTGCCTCTGCAGTCATAATTAAGCATCTCCAACCTTTCCATCACAAAACCCTCCTGTTCATTGATGAGTATGGCAAACTTTTTGAGAATCCACTCCCCACATGAAGTTTTAATGCTTTATCCACTGATAGACCTTAACTTGTGGCAATCAACACAATAAATCATACATACATACAGTGCCTCCAGTGAATTCAAACGTATTAACTGTATTCGCTGGAAGAATTACTTTATCGAGGTCGTGTGCTCTTCGATTTTTATCATCTCGCCTTACGAATAGTTTGCGAGCAGTGCGTAGCTATCGAATTATCGAGGCTAGGCAAAACTTTCTATAATGCTTTCGATAACGCTTGCAAATCATAGTAGACGAATAATTCATTTCTTTAGCTCTGCATTTTAGAGAAGGGGATCTATCATGCTATTAAGCAAAATCGCGGGCGGATTGGGAAAGAAAATCTGTAGATTGACCGAAATAAAGAACATATAATGAAGGAATGGATTGAATCAGAGTTTCATAGGCTGAACTGCTCATTATTATCTTTGCCTTAAGAAGATGAACTTTCTGTAGATATGATAATGCGTTCAGTCTTGTCGATGCATGCTGTTACTATAACTAAGCATTGACACTGCTGTCACGGCAGCTGGGTGCGTAGGTTATTGTTTCTTATGAAGTTATTATTATGCCAAAACTCGAATCTTTAACAACATCCTTTGAACATAGGATAGACAACTGTCACGATCCTAGAACTAGTCAAAATATGTATTTGTACCGCGTTACACGCCGCCAAAAATGCTTTTTAAGGTTTATTAATGCAGGTCACCTGATTGAAGATTTATTGACTGTCAACTCCGACCTGTATCAGTTGGATAATAATAAACTGAACTGTTAACATTAATATTAACGATGAACGAGTCCATGGAATCTTTTGCCAACCGGCGAGACCGTGATGAACGTTACAGGCCTATGTTGCCAAGAGACCGGTAAGCCATGATAGACAACTGCCATTCTATCTTATTTCATATATACATGTACACTCAGTCAAGGAAAACATTCAATGTGATGTGTTAGGGAGGACAGGGAGCGTACTTACTTCAGAGAGGACGTTCAGCCGCCACCTTTACTACAACGAAATACAAACTATCCGCGAGTGCGGCAACGATCGCCTGTTGGCTACGAAGATATGGACAGAGTGCCTCAAGGAGGTGGTATGCCTTTTTCTGATCGAAGGAGTCTGGGTTCTAATATGTTAAGAAGTGTTCCTGACGTTGGTTCAGCCGATTCAGGTTTCCAAATAAACGAGCGCGAGGTTTGCAATTTACTTGTCAATAAATTCAATTGCGTCCACCAACTTTTAATTAATCAACTTTTTCTATATCATCTTTACGGAAATAATAAATAATTCTAATGACTGGATCGACTACAAATAAAAACAACAAATTGTCAAGCCAAGAACAAAGTACGGCGAACGCTTCATAACATCAAGAGACATGCGCTTTCGCATTGCAAATAACTCTCAACCCATGTCAAGTTCATTATCAGATAAGCTCCCTCCACGAGGCCCAGGTTCAAACTTGAACACACATCGAGATTATATTCCCATGAATAATAGCAATCCTTATTACAGAGACTATCCTTCAAATCGTTATCACGATAACCGAGATGTGCGAGGTAGAGGAAGTTCATATTCAAGAGAGAGAGGCCGTGAAAGAGAAAGAGAGAGGGAACGAGAGAGAGAAAGAGAACGAGAGCGAGAACGAGAAAGAGAAAGGGAGAGAGAACGAGAACGAGAAAGAGAGAGAGAATACAGAGATCAAGATCGGGATCATAACAGGTATCACCGTGCTAGGTATTTGGAGTTCCGGTGCTAAACATATTTTCGAGCATTTTTTCGAGCAAACGGAAGTGTCCTGGGGAGTCTATAAGGCAGAATACGTGGATGATTGATATTGTCAGGAATAGTCAACCAAGGACTCGTTCCGTTCATGTATTGATATCGATATGAAAACATAATGGCCCCTATTACCCTAGGACGCTTACCCATAAGGATAGCTCATATGATTGTGTTAGCGTACAAGTAAATTCAAGAAATTACACTCACATTTATTTACTTTTTATTAGCCACCGCGACTACCGTGATCCAAATAATTACAGGAATATACCTTCACCGCTTGATCGCGATGCACATGATTACCGCGATAGAGATTATACGAGGCCCCGACATCTGCGAGATTGGGATTCGAAAGATAATACTTATCATCGTGGAAATAGTTTAGCTCCACAGTACTTTGATAGAAACAATGATTTGTATGAATATAACAAACATGAGATACTAAGAGACGAGTCTGGTGATTCTGAAAAGAGTAGTAGATACCTATCTGGAGCAACAAGGCATAATCATTGGAGAGCAAGAGATTCATTGCAAGTTAGAAAATCAAAGTCTTGGTCAGATTCATCGTCTAATTCCGAGTCTCCGGGACGTTCTGCTTATCATCAAAGTCGATCGACAAAGACATCATCTCCACGGAGTGTATCACCACATGCGAGATCATCAACTGGGAACTCGAGATCATCATCTCCTCGACGTCCTGATATAGAAAGGACGCCTTCTGGACACGTCCTCAAGATATCCCTAACGAGCATGTCTGATAAACCCAATGAGGATGAACTAGAGCATAGTAAAAATCGAAGTGATTGCGAGGAGGTCGAGATTACGACTGATGGTAGTAAAGAACCTAAAACAAACGAGGTATCCACCATTACCGTTGATGATGAAGATGAAATAAGTCACGGGGCTACTGTAACAAAAACAAACTCTGAAGTGGATAATGACTTTATTGAAGAACAAGACCCCAGTGGTAATGATGCTATTAGTACTAGCGGTACCGGCTGTGATGATAGGGGAGGCTGGACAGGGTGGAGAAGTCTAGAGCAGAAGGCTGCTGGTATAGACGCAAAAGAGGAAGCAAGTGATAATACGTCAGAACAGCCAATGGATATAGAAAGTGTAGCCTCGAGTTCAGAGAAGTCTCAAGATATGGAACTTGCAACGGATGAGGAGGAACAAGCAGTATTGAGCGAGTCACCATACAGTTCGAAGCAAAGAAAAAATTACAGTTCAAATGGCGTCGACCAAATAAACAATCGAAATGGTAACAGTTATTTCCTTGAAGACGGGAAGTCAAGTGCGGAGAACAAAACCTTGTCCATAGATAAAGAAAACAATATCAATTCAGATACACCCAATACAGCTGCAGAAATTTCTGTGAGCAACAAAGAGAACCAAAATTTATCATCGGAGGCAGAGCAAGTTGCATTATTCGAAGAACCAAATAATAAATTGAGCTCAGAGAGTGGTTTTAATTCAAAACAGAATAACACTCAGCTGCCTGCAGAGCAGGATAGCGTATTTGAAAAGGATATTAAAACAGAGGAGACGAGTGGGGGAGAAAATATTGAGAGCGTATATAAAGAGAATGAAGGGGTCGGAGCGCAAGAAAAGCAGAGAAAAGAGAAAGAGCAAATGAAAGTGGAAGTTCATACTGAAGATGATCTTACCAGTCTAAGCAAAGCTATCGGAAACCTAGAACTGCAAATCCGAAAAGAGGAAGCTGTTCTTCAAGTTCTCCTACACAAAATGGACGTAGAAGAACAATATGAACGTCAAATAGAAGAGCAGCATGATACTGACTTTGTTCCTATAACTTTAGGATATGAAAGTTCATCTTTACATATGCTCTCGGATGAAGCGGATAGTACACAAGATGATTCATCTGATGTCGGTTCGGTTGAAGACCGTGTAAATGTTTGTCCATTTCAGAAACAGATTTCGTCTATCGATCGACCGAGTCGAAAAGTTGAACCTCTGCACATTAAAATTTATGAGCAAAATCAAGCACTTTTAAGGCAAAGCGGTGCCGAGAATGGCTCTGGATCATATAAGATATTTAAGAGATCAGAAGAATATCCATTTTTCTTTAATAATATACGCAAACACGAAAAGCTACGAGAAGCAATGATTATGACATTACGCGAACAGAAAGAAACCATTACTGACAAAGAAATGACATTGAAACTTCGATATAAGGCTTTATATGAAGCCTGGAAGAGGGAAGTAGATAAGATGAATGAGAAGAAAATTGAAAATGACCAAGCAGCGCCTGTATCCACGTTACGAGGTAATCGACGTGGAGATGCTGTGAGGTCTGATGCCGAGATGTTTGAAATTATTGCGAGAATTGAATCTGCTGAATCCCGTAATCCTGAACTGCGTGCTCAGCGTACACTTGCCACCATTCCATCGATGATACTTGATGCAAATGAATATAATAAACATAACGTTGATGATAAATGTGTATTGGTTAGTGATCCGTATACATTCTATGGAATAGGAGTTGAGGCCGAAGGTGTGTGGAAACCTGAAGAAATAGATGCGTTCAAACAGGCTTATTCCGAGTTTCCCAAGAAATTCAGCAGGATAGCCGAGGCCATCGGCACAAAGACAGCTGCTCAATGTATTCTCTTCTATTATCGTAATAAGAAGAAGGTGGATTTTAAATCACTTATTAATGGAAGAAATGGCAGATCAAAGCGTAGAGGAGCTGGTCGTCGCAAAGCTGCTAATCTCGGCCCTGCACTCGAGCTGACAACAAGGAAAAGACCCAAGACTCAAACTCAAGAGGATACTGCGATTGGTGCTGTTACTCGTAGAACAAGAAAAGAAAGGGAAGAGCAGAAAAAGAGAGAATTAGGACAGCGGGAAGGTGAGAAGAGGATTTTACGAGAACGGGCTATTCAAGAGGAAAGAGAGAGAGGGAAAAGGTCTCAAAATTTAGAGAATATCATGAGGCCAGATCAGGATACTACAAACTCACATTTGGTCGATCGACAGCATGAGCAAGATCAGTTGCACATTGACGACGATCGTGAGTTACAGGGTGGTGTGTTTAATATAAATGATCATGCTAGTGTTACACTGATTAACTTCTTTACGTTTGATACAGGTTTACAAGAGACTGTTGGATTGACTGAGGACGAGAGATATCTGCTTACTGTTACCATTAAGAAGTATGGTGATGACTTTCGTAGCATAGCTATGAACACTGGACAATCTGAAGAAGCATGTCGTGCATTCTATTATAATGAATATCTCAAACAAAATATGAGCGAGACTAATAACAATGAAAATGAAGCTACGATTGATGAAGTGGTCATTGAAGAAGCGTCTTCAAGAAAAACCAAAACTACGAGAAAGAAGAGAATAAAAGGTAGTAAACCGGATGAAATATTGGATAAAGATAAGGAAAAAACAAAACAAAAAAGAAAATCCGCTCGTACGAGGAAGGATCAGGGAAAAAACGTAGATGAAATGCAGGTAGACGTAAGTTCTGTGGCTAGTCCTAATAATGAAGTGGCTAGTCGTAGGACATCTGGGAAGGGAGATGAAAAGCTTCCACAGAAACGCGTCCAACATTCTTCTTATTGGTCTACATCAGAAAGGGAGATGTTTAGGACTTATCTTAGAAAGTTTGGCTGTGCTTGGGAACTCATTGCAGATGCATTGAAGACAAAGACTGCTCAACAAGTAAAGAACTATTATAAAAAGGAATATGAAAACAATCGACTGGTTGCTGAAGAAGAAAGGGTTGAGGATGGGGATGATTTTGGTCGTTTGAACGACAATGGTGTAATATCCAATGAGAAGTTGTCGTGGTCAATAGATACTGGTGGGCAAATATCTCAATCAGCCGATGGCAAGCAGTCTTACGAATATAGATGGTCACACGGAAAATATAATGGACCCCCAATGGACCATAGGCAAAGTATTCAATCTGATATAAGAAGATCTTCTGTGCCTGGTTCATCCGTCATTAATGTACTTGCTTCTCCTCCGCAAGCAAAACGACGTATAGCTGACTTGCTGAATCCATCTGAAGAGACAAGCGAATCAGACATGGGATGGTTTAGTGTGTCCGCTGAGGAATTAACAAATAAGCGCCTGAAACCACATGTCACAGTTGATTTAACAGTTGATGATAATAACGCGACCACACGTAGGAATGTCAGCCATAATAGCAGAAGGGGTTCGGTGGAAGCGGTATCTCCGTCTGGTAGTGATCGTAATATTGTTGATATTGTGAATAGGTCTCGATCGACTCAGTCTGTTGGACAGTCTGCTACAAGTCTCAATCAGAAATCACCTACCCAGATAATGTCGCAGGAGCAGCAACTTATGCTAAAAATGCAACAGATGCAACAGATTCAACAGCAACATAGTATCCATCATACACAACCCATTACTAGTCAACATCAGATTAGTCATATCCAACAGCATCAATATCAACACCTTCCACTACAATTGCAAAGGCAGCAGCAGCAACCACAACAGCAACCATCACCAGCACAATCACAACAGCCACAACCACAGCAACAGCCACAACAATCCCATACAAGGCCTCAGCCCCAACTGCAATATTACAATCCTCCAACATACAGACCAATAGTGGATCTCACCCAGCCTCAGTATCATCATGGACAAATGTATTATGATCATCATAACCCGCTAGTAAATATTTCTCATTCTCAAATTCAGCTACGTTCACAGCCTCTGGCCCAGCCACAATCAGCTCAAATATACAGACAAAACATGTTTCAACTCCACCTTCAACAACAGCAGCATCATCAACAGCATCATCAACAGCATCAACAACAGCATCAACAGCAAAATCAGCAGAATCAACAAAATCAACAGCAACAGCAATCACAACAACACCAACAACACCAACAACAACAAAAACAACAGCTGCAGCTGCAGCAACCATCATCACAACCATCACCATCACAACCATCACAACCATCACCATCACAACCGCAACAACAACAACCGCAACAACAACAACAACAACAGCAACAACAACAACAACAACAGCAGCAGCAGCAACAACAACAACAACAACAACAACAACAACAACAACAACAACAACAACAACAACAACAACAACAACAACAACAGCCACAACAGCCACAGGAGCAACAGCAACAACCACAACCACTACCACTACCACAACCACTACCACCACCACCACTACCACCACCACCACAACAACAACAACAACCACAACAACCACAACTACAGCAACAACAACAACAACAACCACAACTACAGCAACAACAACAACCACAACTACAGCAACAACAACAACAACCACAACTACAGCAACAACAACCACAACCACAACCACAACCACAACCACAACCACAACTACAGCAACAACAGCAACAGCAACAACAGCGACAACAACAGCAACAACAGCAACAAGAGCAACAAAAGTCTCCAACATCACTCGCTTCACAACAATCGCAGATGTTGGAATGGTGTTGATACTGTTTTCGTTTATAATGTGTTGTCTTGATTATGAATTGTAAATAATCAATAAAACTATTATTCTTCATAATCGAAGTTAATGTTTAGAAAAGGCAAAGTTGTAGGAAGTATAGACTAAAGAATATTAGATGATCCCATTATAATCAACAGGAAGATGGCTTGTATTATTGATGTTAAATAAAATGATATGTTTAATTTGTAAGTTTATTTATCTATTTTATACGAATACGACCTACTAATCTTAAGAATGGTACTGCTGACAAGTACAATCAATGCTGTTATAAGGATTAGGATTCCGGAAGGTTGCATCATATTGTATTCAGAATGTTGGATGATAATCCTGAGAGAACTTGGTTTATTGCATCAATCAATATTGCAGATAGTCCATACATTAATTATACCCACGCTAATGGTATGCCAGTACACCAAATAGCAATAACTCTTCACCCATGCTATACTACCTTCATGTGAACTCTGTTCCCTTCATTCCGACGAGAACATTTCTACTTTATTATATTATTATCAGTATTTCAGTGACGTTTCTAGTTTCACCGTTCACAAATTACATTCCCGACTCTCTGAAGTCCTTTGGACGGCAGAAGAGTTGACAGAGTTATTCGAGCAATAAACTGTAGTAGTAGGGATGAGAGAGCGGGATATGTTAAAGATGACGCGTTGTAGAATGAGAAAGTTAACAAAGACATTGAACGTAAAATCTAGAATATGCCTTTGCAGAAAGTGAGAATAGATATACGTAGCGCTCCTTTTCTTCTGCTCAACTTATACAACCTCACATAAGCCATCGCTTTGGCACATAGACAATACCCAAGGGCCTAACTTCCCCGGTCTAACCTTAATTTGCCGATCAAATGCCAATGCTTATTATGGTGTATCATAAAATGAACAATGTGAAATTTTTTGCATTTCATATTGATTAAACTGCGTGGTACCAAATCTTTCAATTATAGATCACATCAAAGCTGATTCGCAACATTCAATGGATCTCACATCTAATCTCCGTGGCTGCCTCTCGCTTGCCGTTCCGAAAAAAGGTCGTCTTCATGAACAATGCCTCACGCTACTCAAAGGGGCGGACCTAATCTTCCGTCGAAAAAATCGTCTTGACATTGCTATGGTTCAGAATTTGCCTATAGCCATTATCTTTTTACCAGCCGCTGATATTGCAAAGTATGTCGGTGATGGCAACGTAGACCTGGGCATGACTGGCGAGGATATGATAGCTGAAGCAGGGGTAGACGGGAAAGTAATTAAGATAGCTGAACTTGGTTTTGGAAAGTGTAAATTGCAAGTTCAAGTGCCGCAAAACGGTGGCCCAAAGACGGTCGAAGAACTGGTAGGGGGAAGAATTGTCACCAGCTTTAGAATGCTGGCACAAAAGTATTTCGCTGAGATAGATAGAAAGGTCTTGACGGAAGAGGAAATAAAGGAAGGGAAAGGAACAAAAATACAGTACGTTAGTGGAAGTGTGGAAGTGGCATGCGCTCTTGGACTTGCTGACGGCGTTGGTAAAGTTTCGATTTTATTTATTTTTTTTTTTACCTTGTCCGAATTTGTGAAGAAATGTCTACTGAACTGGATCTAAAATAATCTGTTTTTTTTTTTTGTTAAATAAAAATAGTTGATCTTGTTGGTAAGAAGAGAATCAGAGTTCAATCTAATTTGCAAGTGTCTCCTCTAACTGATCGTTTCTCATTGTCTATAAGAATCCGGAGAGACGATGCGGGTGGCTGGCTTACATGCCATAAGCACAGTCTTATCTACACAGGCTATTCTTATCGGAAATAATCATCCATCCAATCCAGAGCTTGTTACTAAAATTAGCTCTCGAATATTAGGTGTAGTAGCCTCTCAGAAATACGTCTTATTGAACTATAATATAGAAAGAAATCACCTAAAACAAGCGACTGTGGTCACGCCCGGGAGGCGGGCTCCTACAATAAGTCCGCTTGAGGATAATAATTGGGTGGCAGTACAGGCCATGGTAGCCCAGAATGAAGTGGCTCATATAATGGACGAATTACAAGCTGTCGGTGCACATGACATCTTGGTATTTAACATTAATAATTGTCGCGTATAGAAATCGACAATGTCCAGCCTAGCGTACTTTTTTTTTGAAAAAGATAGAGTAAAGGAACATGCTACGAAAGGCGATGTTCCATAATGTCAATGAACAGAATTGTTGTGTTAATAATATTCACAATGTTGGGACTATGTAAATAATTCGATAGTCTTGGTAATAAACTCTACTAAAAAACCTCGCCTTCGAAGCCTAACGCTGTCAGTTCTGTATGCGGTTAAGCATAGCATTAATTGCTCCAAACTTTGTACGATGTAGAATAATAGTTTATTGTAAGTACTTTGTAATCTCGTCTGCTGTTCCTTATTTTGACAGCAGCGAGTGGGAATTTTATAAAGTCTATGAGTAATACTTCTGTTGGCTATTTGTACGTTCAAACAAGTATTATATCACCTCCCCTACATAGCCAGATCTACCAATTTCAAACGACGTATTATCAATTATGTCAAAAGTTATATCAGAAATATCGCCTTTTGGCGGGTCAATTTCTTGACCAAACTTTGTCGATTTCCTTTAAACGACAGTTCTGTAGACGAGGAGAAAAATCACAGTTAGCCCTCATACATATAAACGAATCATAATCAAGTCACTACTTGATACAAACACTTACGGTGGTAAAGTAAATTTCTTTCCATGTAATACTCTTTGAAATTTAAAAAAGTTGGTCAGATGAGTAGCCGGTAAATCAAAAAATCGGGGAAGAGATACTACTTACTTGTTGTAATAATGATAGAAGAAATCACTGTATAGTGCTGTTTGAACTATTCCAGCAACCCATACAGTGTAATCGACATGGCCTTCTCGAGTGTATCGCCAAATCCAATTTAATATATATAATGCTCGATATGCACCCAAGGCAAACAAATAATGTGTCGTAATAGTCTCTGCCTCTCCAGTACGAGTGAGCATGAATAGTTGCGGAAGTATAGCCACCGCCTCGAGATAGATGGAAAACGCCCAGAGTATCTAAAAAGAACAACGTCACTAGTCAAAAGAGTAGGCCTCGCAAGAAATAACACGCAGCATATTTATCAGGTTCACTTACTTCCAAAACGTTTATATCCCTGTTAAATATGAAAGCAAGAAGACAACATGGTACCAGTAGATATTCGACTTTGAACGTATCCAGATTCGGATCATAAGTTGCTCTAAATTTGATGTACATCAACCAGAGTATGTATATAGACGATGATATAAAAAAGATTTTCATCAAAAAATTGTATAGTGAGATCCAAGTAGTGAAAAGATCAAGGTATCGCGCTACAAAGACCACAGTATAAAGAATTTGTGTCTTGAACGAGATGCCTGTATGAAAATAAAGATCGAGATGTTACGTTAGCAACCACTGATCTGGCTAAGATCGCCGAGAAAGGCTTCACGTTTCTGTAGACACTTTGCAGGTTTCTAGAGCATGTTCTCTAATAGGCCGTTGAACTCGGTGATTTACTTGTTGAGACTCTTTCTGAACATCCCGGAAATGAGTCTGAAGAAGCAAGGGACAAACTCACCTGCGCATGATCTTGTTTTCTGAATTTTTAACAGCAAAATAAATATTGATGCCAAATGCATCAAATCTGCAACGAGTCTAAAGGCGTTCATTTTGTAAAGCTTCAAGTTGGCCGAAGAAGGGTAACTGATTTTGTATAACCAGTCATGTGGACCACGTTTTCAGATCTCACTTGACAGATGAACTTAATAATTACATCCAATAAAATTGACTGGCTCGATAATAATAATGACGTCTGGATGACAAACGCAAGTCTGTTATTAATACGTAAAATTAATGTCGCAATGAATTCATTTGATTGGCAAAGAATGCTAGCATACACTGTTATTCGAATGACTTTTGCAAAAAAATCTATTCCTCACTAAATAATTCACTAATGACATTTTCTCTTTTTAACAGGCAAGAGATCGTTATCATGGGCAACACATGTTATATTTGACTGGATGAAACGCTGTAATAAAACCATTATTGCGTATTTCAGCATGTTGGTAATTGGCCGTGCGCAACCACCTATATTAATATTAACGTCTCGTATTCAGTTTCAACAAACAAACGTCAAGCCAATCGCAAGTATCAATCAATTCATAAAAGATGACCAAAGTTAAATTCCCAAATAATCGTGCGACAACAGCAATTGAAACTGCAAACGGAGAAACCTTCTTTTATTATTATCAGCATCTTTTCCTCATACATCTGAAGCAGAACTACTTCCACTTACAAAGCTCAATTCTTTAATCTATTACTATGTCCTGATTCATCAGTCGTTAATCGTGCAGGGTCAATCAAAGTTACCCCACAGATTTTGAACACGTTGCAAATAGTCCAAAAGTTGTGTCCCCAAGAATTACTATTACGGAAATGTTCGTCGTTCTAAAACTCGCTTTTCCCAAATAAGTATACTGGATGTCTCCTGAATAAAATTACAAACTAATCTCGGTCTAATACAAAAAAAGAAAATCTAGACACGGGGAAATAAAATGGTGTGACACCAACGATATTACCACATTTGGGACCCGCCACCAATATGAAATTCGAATATCTTGCCAGAATTTAAAAGTTAATGTCATTTACGAGTTCTATATTAATGAGGCGAAGAGCTTCACAATTTTCCTCACAGACTTTTTTGTCATATCAAAGAATTAACTCTATTGAAAATTTTGCCCCCTTTAGCTTAACTAGCATCTTTAATGGCTACTAGACCATCACCGGTATCTTTCTTGCAAGCGACTCTTTATATCAGGTATAAACTCTTCTCAATGTTGTGCTAAACTACTTTCCTGTCTGGTTTGATAGTCCAGCGTTGCTTCCGGCTTATATTCAGCCTCCTACTTTACAGTTGAAACAGAATGCGGTTCTAACTGACGTGCACACGCCATACTTCTGTTTACATGCATTGTATGTAAACCCAAACATCCGTGGTAAGAATGTTTGAATGCTCAACACATACAGTGGTATTTAAAAAAAATGGCACAAATTTAGTTCGTATACGTGTAACTCGGTCAATTTTCAAAATAAACGCGTAAGCAATGGATCAAAACAAAGCTTATGTAATGGACACCATTTCCAAACAGACTTATTTTCGACTTAGTTCGCGCTTTACCCAAAACAAAAGTGTAAAATGTCGCAATCCGTCAACGAAAGACAACGACAAACGATATTATATTATTGGGAGAAGGGCCTTAATCCTATCGAAAACCTTTGGAACATAGTTAAAACAATTGTGGAAAGGCGTAAACCAAAAAACTGTAAGGATTTAGAACGGTTTATGACTGAAGAGTGGGACAATACTGTCCTAATTAATTTAATAGATTCGATGAAGCAATTGATGTGAACTAATTATAGAAAATAATGGTGAAGAAAATTCGTTTGTGCCATTTTTTTTGAACACCACTGTAACTAGTGGAAATTATGCATAAGTAATATTAACAATGTACAAGTGGCTCGCGATATAAGAAAGTGATCGGGACCCATAGTAATAGTAAAAAATTTTAGAATCTTTCTTATATAGAGATAGTTTTATATAGACTATTTTTTAGATCAACTTTCTTATATCAAATTTTAATTAGTGTTTCTTATATCGAGAGCTTCTTATATCGAGTTTCGCTTGTATAAACATATTATATATATATTCGCACTTGATAGTCACCTTGTCATATATAAGTCATCTGTCTTATCAAGAATCCATATCGAGAATAACAGTGGTAAAAGCGTCTATCAGCAACCATGTAATAGTTGTTATTAGACTTGGTAAATCCTTCTATGAGTTTGTTGCAATAACTAAGCCATTCCTTATATCGTCTAAATTGGCTGACATCATCGTTTCTTTAACTCTATCACCATATGTTTGCTTGCGAATAGACGCTGTCAATTTTAGTTGGCTTTATATCGGTGATTTCCGAGTAAGGAACCCATTTAAGTTCATAATATTCAAACGATGTCATCCGTTTTAGGGGCTCGTAGAAGAATAGACAGCCTCTTTAGCGGCTGAAGTCAAAGATTTCGATGATTTTGCAGCGCATTCCAACAAAGATTTATACATCGACTGTATAGATACACAATATTAAAAGTATAAAGTTAGCAACCATTGTTAGCGTAATGCATTGCGGCTATGCGCGCTTTACGTCTCTGGTTTTCTCTATAAACCTAAAAATCGTAAAATAATTTTGCCACCGAATGATAAGTTAGCCGTCATGGCATCGAAATCCGTCCAACACATGAACTTTACGATTTTATAGTTGTCTGTTATCCCGCGTAAAATATTACCAACGTGGTATGGGCAAAGACACTGATCACCCTTACTTAACAGTTCAAAAAGAGTCACTTTCGGTAAGATGAAGTCATCGGGATGGACCAAAATGGTATATTAAGCAATAATTTCTTTATAAACAATTGTTTAGATTAAATATTTAATTGTTTCCTCGTAGAGGAAAATCCAGAGTGCCTGTTATTTTGCTGACTAACATAATTAGTAATCCGTGAACTGCTTCACCGCTTGTGACAATAGGGGAAGCCGTTCTTCAGGCTTATCGGGGTTTGTCTGGTGTCAACTATCTTTCAATTAACGGGTATTTCTTGAGGATTGAAAACACATTATCAATTTGATAAGCAATTAGTCAATTAAATATTTAATATTATTGTCGTCGGCAACTTCTTTGTCTTAATTTAAAGAATACATTTCAATATTCGCGTTGTTTTGAATTGTGACGATCTTAACGTTATCTCACGCCCATGCAGTTAATATAGAAACCTTGATTTAATGAGTTTAATTAGGATGGTCTATTAAAATAATAAACCAATTATAAAGATAATTTACACTCTTAGATGGTAATTCTCCAATATATAGAATAAGTTTTTTACGTGCCATATTTATAAATAGTGATAATTCCGTTATAACAGTTGCTCTTAAGTATAACACTTTGCTTGCTTAATTTACAATATCTTTAGATACCAATATGTATACAAAACGCATCAGTAATTGCAAAATATGTTACATAGTCACTCTTGATATCCCGATAAGATGCGAATTGGCCTAAGTACCATAAAATTGGCCAGATACAATAACCATCATTATTAAATCTTGCAATATAATGTAGTTATGTGATTTATATATAGAATCAGGCTTAGGAAAACGATTACGTTTAATAATCGTGTAAATTGATGTAGATTTTATATTACTGTGTAAGTTTTCAGTGCTACTCGCTATACTGCATGGGTGTTTTTGCTATTGATATTATCACTATCATAGAGATTACTTTGATTAAAATTATCGTGTGACTTATAGACTTGATAGCCAATGAGAATTATTTTCCCGCGTGTTCTAAAACGCTATACTCCAATACTATTGTTCTCTTTTACGGAAACAATTACGACAATATACGGAATTCGCCATATTAATAAGGGCCAGAAACTGCCAAAACACTTGTACCGGTAATTTACATAAATTTGTATATGGGTTACAGCTGTGATAATCAAAATTTTAGCCAAATTAGTCAACTTTCAGCCACATCAGCCTCTTATTTACGTGTGTTACGAAAAAAATGGCCCTCACAAAAAATTGCATAACTCAACAATGACACATGATATTTAAACAATTCCAGATGTTTTAGAAAGTTTATAATGTATTTTATTATAAATAAAATTTTCAATATAAAATCCTATCTCATTCTTTTTTCGCATTTTTTTTCATTGACAAAACTAAATTGTTCAATGTTTCAACTGAAATTGCATCCCATTCTTCAACCATAAACTTCATTTCATTAATATCCTTTGGCATTCATTTTTTTGATTACACAGTGAAATTCACTTTATATACAAGTGAAACTCAGGTCGCGGGAAGGGATAATTTACTCGGCTTATCGAGATTTTCGTTTTATCAAATTTCGCAATAAGCCGAATTTATATATAGTTTACACAAGCTTTCGGCTTATAACAGCACTATATATAAACTTTATTAATAATAAAATGCAAGAATACTCGTTTGCTATAACATACTCTGTTGTTTAGTCTCAATCGTTCTCTTTAACTTTTAGATTAGATAAGAAGGCAGTATCAACTTGAAGCTCACTATCACAATCTTGAGTAATATACAGAAGCAAAGAATTGACATGCTCAAGAGCTGATTTATGAGAAATGGATTTGACTATTGGGGAGTCTTCTGACTTCGACAAGTCCTCTCTTTCTATTGTTGCAATAATAGACTCTGTTGTCGGCATATCCTGTACAGAGATAAAATCTTCTGAATTAACAAACTCAGCCGCTTCCATTCTAACCTCTTCACGATCGATAGGAAATCGATTAATTAGCTCTGTATTTGTTGATGAAACAACATCTTTTTCGGTTTTAACAGCTATATTATATTAGGTATAATACCCGTTTTTTGCCATCGTCTGCGCTAATAGTATGTCTGATTTCGATCATGAGATTTAAAAATGAACCAATCAAGATAAATTTACGTGTTTACTTCGGTATATCGACATAAAATTATTATAGTCGGTTAGTCGGCTTATCGTTTAACGCAAATTTACTAATAAAATTTTGGGAAATCAAAAAAAAAAACTTCGGCTTAATGCAATTTCGGACTTCGGCTTATCGAGTTTCACTTGTAAGCAATTTCTGCGCATTGATTATCATTGGTCACATTCTGCATACAGGTTACATTGTGAAAAGGTCTAGAAAGTTCCTAATAATAATAATACGTCATTGGTTAAGCCACCATATATTAGGTCACATCGCGCCAAGCACGTCTTAAAATTTTCTCTCATCATATCATGCCTTTCAACATCTGGTTCAAGTACGGTGAAAGCCAGCCGGCTAAAGTCAAGTTTGATGGAGAGGATGTCGACAACCTGAAGGAGGCGATAAAGGAGAAGCTCAAACCAAGGTTGGACGATGTAGCCACCGCTGAAATTATCCTCCGAAGATACGACGAGGAAGCGGATCTCGAGCCGGATAGTCTGGTGACATTGCTTCTTCCGCGAAGAAGCCGCTGAAAGTAACAGCTGCTCAGCCAACGACTTTGTGACTCGGGCGTTGGGTAGTATGCACATAGGGTAGAGTAGAATTAGTGATATGGTTTTATTGTTACAAGTAACGACTTTGTGACTTGAGCGTTACATAGAGTAGTGTGTATGAATTTACTGGGAGGTTATTACAACTATATGCCTCCCATCATCTTTCAAGGCGTAGTATTTATTACTCATTTCTATGATTTACATGTCCATGTCACGTCAATAATAATAATAATAATAATTTGATATTTAGAGTCCCTTGACAAACGAAGAAAATTTGATGATGATGATATAAAACTGCAAAGGGTTTGGAATGCTTTTAAGAATACTCCAGACGATTCCCTGTTCCTTTGGTTTTCTGAGGAAGTTCCTACCTTTTTGGCAGAGATGATCAAAGTAAAAATATAACCACCTTGTTTGTCCGTGAAAGTTATCTCCACTTATCTAAGATTATTCTCGAGAGAGCCAATATCCGTCGTTTTCTTATTACTGGAAATCCAGGGATTGGAAAAACCTTCTTTGGTTATTACTTACTTTATAAACTTGCATGACAAACAAAACGGTTGTATACCACAAGCACAACAAGGCTCCGATTCTCTTTAGTAATGATACCATTTACAGTATTTATGAAAACAATATTTACACATTCAAAGATTACCTGGGAAATGAAGATGTTTGGTATATTGTGGATGGAAGGCAACCGATGGATTATATCACCAAGACAATTCTTGTCTGTTCGCCTCAAAAAATAACTACAAAGCATTTTATAAGCTAGGAACAACTATTCAATATATGTCAGTATGGTCATGGGAAGAGACTGATACATGCAGGGCAGAACTTTTTCCCAAACTTTCCCAAAAAACTGTTTGGGAATTGTACAATTGTTGGGGTGGAATTCCCCGTTTTACTCGTTATATGCTTTTAATGATACTCAGCAAGGTCTCCTTGACAAGGCAATTAACTCAGTTGATGAATTAATATTCAAATTTGTTGGCGAATCCACAGATGACAATAGTGCTAGTCACAAAATTGTCCATATATGCACAAATGTACCAGAGAAGGAGACAGTGGAAGTAGAGGAAGAGGAGTAGAGGAAAATCCTTCATCAAAAACTCCTGCAGCGACTAAACTAGACAAAGGGAAAGGTATTGCAGGGGAAATAGTGAAGAGCCTCTTTTCTGTACAGTGTCAACTTTAAAATTTGCATCTGATTATGTCTCTGAAGAGGTAATGGGTATACACAGCACAGTACAGGGATAAGCTGTTGAATTTTGTGCAAGCTAGCTCAGCGATAAGTGATTACAGTACACTTCGGGGTAAGTAGAAAACATTATATACAATGACTCGTTGTCTCAATAAATCAAACTCGGATTGCATTTTAGTATAAAGCAGGTTTATTTAATTTTTAATTAAAATTTCCGTTCCAATTTAGAGCGCAGATGTCGTGCCGACTACTGCGGGAGAGCAGAAAGTAATCGACACTTGGGATTTAACGGAGCGTGGCACCTCCTATTCAAGTTAAATGTCTAGGGTACAGTTAGTGACCTTGTCAATGTCAAGGCTTTTCACTTACGGACTATTT